GCAAGAGCAGTGGAAACATCTTGAGCACTCATTACTCTGCTGTTCTGATAAGCAAATAATCTACCTACCTATTCCAGGAGGAAGACAACCATGCACCAGATTAAAGCTTCCTGGAGTGGGAATGCTCAGGAAAGTAAGGTGACAGCAGATCAGGAAAAACAGTAATTTGCAGACCACATGTATGCTGAAAGGTTGGAGCCACGCTGTTGAATACAGGATTCCTCCCTTACAATGCTTAAAAATAAATAAATAGAAAGGGGTGGAGGAGGTGCAAATGACAACACACATTCACATCCAATTGCAAAGAGCTGCAGCGCTGTGGAATGAAACTGATTCCCAGGAGGGAATTTCACAGCAAGTAAAAAAAAAAAAAAGTACAAAAGGATTCATAAGTATTAACAGATGCCAAAATTAGACATAGTTACCAATTTGGAAGCCAAAAGGTCAAAAAAAGAGGCACATCTGGCCTGTGAGTAATTCAGGAGGAATTTGTTTACACAAGGACAGTGGTTGACAGAGTGAACTGCTGCAGTCAGCATGGAGACCACGGGCTGAGCACAGCAGGCACCCGAGGTCACCAAACAAACGGAACCAGCAGAGGAGAGAGGTGGAGTCAGCTCTGGACACTCAGTTATAGGACTCAGACGACTTTATAATCAGATCACGTTTTTTGGAATTAGTCTCCAACACTATTCAACAGGACTAAAATACCATTGAAGAAATAAGTACAGTCCAATGCCTGGAGACATTTCTAAACCCAGTAGAGTAGAAAGAGGCCTAAATGTCTGTCTTAACTGAAAGACACATTTGAAGAGTCACAGGCTACTTACTTGTTTCAAAGTCCTTTCTGCTGAAGTGCTGCTCTTCCCAAGCTTCCCTTTGGGAAGGTCTGCTATGCTTACAAACCTGATATCTCCACAGTTGAGTGCCACTGAACTTCATAGCAGCTACAGATATTTAAAACATTTGTGCTCCTGAATTTCAGAAGAGCAGAGAGATTTCTTGGCAAGAGAGTGTCAGAGGACAGCTCTGCAACTGTGCCCATGTCTCCCACACAGCCCTACCAAGGGATTGCCTGGTTTTGAGTCTGCCTGCACATCCACTGATGTGAGCACGTCTCAGGGTCCTATCAGGAGCTGTAAACTAAGCTACAGAAGTTCTCTGGTTGCAGAATGTACAACTGCAGTGGAAGGAGAAACACTTCCCCATCACCTGTAAGCTTATGTTCTGCTGTACCAAGTACCTCTCTCGACAGGATACCGTTAGTTGAGATAACAGACCACCCACAATCCTTGCAGCCTGTACATTTCACTCCTTTTGGACATGTGAAGCCCCTACTCCTCCTGTTCAAGACAGCTTTGCTCCTGAGGTACTCCAACACAAACAAGCTTTAAGGTATTTTTCTTTAGAAAGCTATATGCAGAGGCTGAGGCCAAAGTCTCCTCATCAGCCTCCTCCTTTGCAAAATATTTTGCACAGAGTTACAACATGCCTCCACAAACAAACACAGGTTGGTGTTTAAACTTGAGCAAAGAATCTCTACATCAATGAATATTTCCTATTTTCCATAATATTGCATGGAAAAACTGTTTACCCACTTAACTTATACGATGTTTTTAGTCATAATTTTCAGAGTACAAGTTCAGATGAACACACAAGCACTTTCTAACTGTCCATGTGACATCAAACTTTCAGCATTTGCTCGTGACACTTGACCATACACAGCCTTCCTGGAACTGGTCAACAATAGCAGCAAATCTGTCGTGTAATGAAACAAGTGTTCTTGCACACTCACATCAGCTGTAACTGCACATACAAAGCTTTCCTTGTATTTGTAAAAAAAAAATAAAAAAATCCACCACCAAACCCCCAAAATACAACACATTATCTGCCCTCCCTGGAAAAAATAAATTGTATGATGAATGTTTTCAAAACATTTCAGAACAATGAACATGTCCTTTGATCTGATCCTACACAACTCCTCATACAGACAGACCCGAATGCTCAGTTACTGACCCCAGACAGGCACAAGATCCCATATTTTTGAGAATACGTGCAAAATCCACACCTCTCATTCTGACTTTCCTTTAGGTCCTCACCACTCAATACTGCAGCATTAAGTATGAATTTACTCTTACCCTTTAGATTCTAGATCAAAGCAAGCACACTCACGGGATCAAGACACAGGACTGCAAGACTTGATTTCTTCCCATCAGCTTCACACCACACACATGAGGAGAGCTTGCCCTGCACCTTGGTTTTCAAGGTGATTATGCAATACTTAATAGCAACAATTGTTAGCTTATCATTTAAGAGTAAGCATTCATTGCAGAGGTACTACTGATCTAACATTTACAGTCTCACATCTATGCTAACATGTTTATAATTCACTTCTGACAGCTTTAGTGTTCTATCACACTCTCATGTCTTTGCTTTTACACCACAGTCATGACTGCAAATCCTGCTCACTGTGACCTTCCCTTTCATTTGCATTATTCCTTGCATGGATCAGTTTTACTTTCAAAGGAAGCTGCATCTCCCAAGCCTCATATATTTACAGCAAACAGAAGCAGGTGGGCAGAGCAACTTTGAAGTTTACATCTGTTGTTACAAACACATCCAATACCCTGATTCACACTGAACTTGAACCAACTGCCTCAGAAACCAGCATCTTCTAAAGGCTACGGTCTCTCTCTTCCTATGGAAGTGAAAATTGATTCTGAGCAAGTTTGTTCTCAAGCTCACCAACCCCAACAGTATTTCATGACTCTTATCCCACAGGTTATTTAGGATTGCTTTTTCTTCCTATTCATCTTGATGACAAACTAGTTTTGATGTCTGTGTTCAGTTATTTCTTCTTGCATCTAAGTCAGACCCTCCCAAGGAGAAACCAGTTACTGCACTGAGTGGTTTTATACAGCCACTGTTTTCATTTGTATCTGTTCTTTCACAAGGCCTAACAAAAATTATACAGCTACACAAAAGCATAAGCTCTCCTTGGAAAAATATTCTTTTGGACTTAAGGGTGAACACAGATTCAAGATGCATTGAGAATAGTGTTCATATATTTTAGAGACATAAAAACCAAATAATAACCTATATGCCTATTTTAAATATAGTTACATCCTGAAATGTTTGCAAAATCTCAGGATTATTCAATAGGCAGAATCCTGGCACACTAACACAGAAGTAGAGAAAGAAGGAGCAACTTCACTTTTGATTGAAGGGAAAGGTGACCTTGGCATGAAATCAAGATCTGCAGGTGGTAGTTTCAAAGTCTGAATTTGATGGGAAAAATAACCATCTCAACTACACAAAACCCATCAAAATAAGTAATTCATTATTTAAAAAAGCAAGCATTTGGCTCAAAACAAGAAAGAAATTAATATACAGCAAAGTCTAAGTCTTGCATTGAGGGTACTCTTAACAAGCCCAGCATGATGTATTTCTAAAAGATACAAGTCATAGCATTCACTTGAAAGAAAAGAGTAGACTGCCATGAATGGACAAGTCATTACAGAGCCAAGACTTTCATGCTCAGGTTTTATCTAAATAGCAAACCAAGACATTTTCAGAGATAGCAGCTTCTTTTTAACAGCAAAGAACATTTCAGATCAATTCTAAATTTAATCTTAACCTAGGGTATTCAAAACAAGCTCTCAGAGGACATTGTTTATTCTTCCCCTTCTAACTTTAGCAACTGTAACTGCCCTTAATACAAGGATATTAAGTAGTAGCTATATTTTGCAGCTCCCATGCTGCATGCCCAAGCCAAAGATTGCATTTGGGTGGCAGTTCAAAATACTCCTTTGAAGTACTTTAGGTCCCCAAACCAAAGTGTGTCTCTGCCACATGACTCAGAAGGGATTCATTTTGCCCTCTGCAAAAACACAGCACCTGGCCCAAACCAGCATGTTACACCCCACAGAATACCCTGTGCCCTGTTTCCCACAGCTCAGAGCAAACCCTTGTCAGCCACCACCACATGACATGGATTGGCCTGTCAGTAGCACACAAACAGCTGGTCCCAGCAGCATTTATTGGATGTTTTGCCAGGTAAACCCTCTTCCATGAGGGAACAGTTTTGTTAGAGGGACAGATGTTCAGGGTGGTTAGTCATTGTTCAGGGGATTTGCTCAGTAGCTCCCTTCAATGGACATCCTAAGAGGTTTTATAATGAAGAACTAAGTTTTAGAAGAAATCAGACATTTTCTTCCTTTCCTTAAATTACTACTGGATAATATGCTCTGGCACAGGGAAGGGTAAACTTATCATCTGCCATTAGCCAACACCTTGTCCACATTATTTAAGCCACTCACTGGAATATTACAAACCAAAACTAGCGTTTTTTTCCCCAGACAGGTTTTCTTTGTCTCTGTTGTATTTCAGCCCAGAATTATACTACACCATATTTTAAATTAAAGCAGATAGAGTTCAAAGTTACATCAGTTCAATAGGCTAATAAACAAAGAGGTCATTGGACTGATAGTTTCATAGCCTGCATAGCTTTAGAGTTAGAACACTGGAGGGGAGGAAAAGGAAGAAGTCAGATTTAGCCAAAACCAGCCAAGGATCAATAAGTACTTTCATGTCCTCCTTCCTTCTGTGACTGCTTTCTCCCATCCTCTCCCACTCACCTTGCACTAAGCAACTTTCTGGTTTTGTTTGCTTTCTTTACCAGCTTCAGCTGTTCCTCACATCTGCTTTTTTTGTGAACTATCATTCAAGCCTACCATGGATTCTTAAACAGAGGCTGCTAATAAAAAAAACACATCCATACATGCACTAAGCTTATGTCCCTTTTAAAACCATTATAGATAACTTTCCTATAAAGTACAGTTAAACAAAGCAAACAACACAAGTTAAAAACAGATATCCTCCAGCTCAAATAAATACCAAGTAAAGATGGTTCTACAGTTCAATCACCTGAGTCACACACTTTTAAATTGCAGAAAGTGTCCTGAGAAGGAACTCTACACAATTACTGCACACTGACCTACCCCAGTGTGATGGGACCCATCCACAGTACTGCAAGACTTCTGTGTTTTCAGTGCATCACCATAATCTGCATCAAAGTTGGTCTTCCACACCATCACCTGCAGATGAAAATTGACTCCATTAAAATTTTCTATCCAAGTTTGCTTAAGGGACAATTTTGTTAACACATCAGAGAAGAGTTCACCTAGGAAAGCTCTGCCATGGATTAAATTAAGGATGTTGTTTGTAAATATGCTACTGAATACAGACTTAGCTTAACTGAGTTCTCAATGGGTAAGTGACCTCTTCCAGCATTCTTTGGGTCAAGAACATCACGAGACTAGAATGACCTAGAAAACTTCAAAGCAACATGCAGAATACAGCATTAAAACCACAAATATTTTAAAATACCATGCTTGGCATTATAACACTTATCAGCCACACCACAAACAACTGGTCACTCATTTATCATGAGACTCATTCAGAGGAAGAGTTAGTACTGAGACTAGCATTAGAGATCTTGAGCTAGTTTGTCAACTCAATACCAAATTTAAATCCCACTTACAGGTCCCTGCTCTCCATAACACAGTACTGGTTTCAGAAGAGAGGTCTCTAACACATCAATCACTTCAACACATCATGAGCAAATTTATGGAGTAAAACCCTTAGCAGTGTCCCTACAAGTCTAAAGAAGTTCAAGAGCAATCAATCAGCTATTTCAGAGGTCTGAAAGACACCCAAGAACCCAGGCAGTTCATCTTGGTTATCAGAAACATCCGTGTTTATTCTTCATTTGCAAATTTTCATCCCTGCTTCACATGAAAGCATTTTTCTTTTGCAGTTGCATGGTTAACCAATGAGGCCATTCCATTGTGTAACAGGACAAAAAAGTGATGCTCTTTCATTGTCTAGATTGTACAATCTATATTAATTGTATACATTGCCTCTTCACAGCTACCAAAGGTGCTATTACAACAAAGATGGGCACTGCCACTTAGTCTAACCTGGGGATTAAGACCACTGCAACACAGCTCAGTGAAGACTGGTGACAGAAAAATGGATCCTTGCTCAGACCACTACTTTGGGTTGAAGTCAGTCCACGTCTTCAACTCACACTGTTTAAACCAGCACATATTTGCAGCACAGGCTCATGTAACAGTCCTGTTTGCAGCTCAGTAATTAAGTATGTTTTTTTGGAGAGGCTACCTGTCTAAACTACCACACAAAAAAATCCTTTTTGACCTGCGGAGATGCTCCTGATAATTATTTGTCCTATTTCTCTTTGATTCAGAAAGCCAGCATTCAACAAGGTCCATTCCACTGAAAAAGCTTCTTGCATGTACACAACTGCCAATTTAGGGCTAATTCTGTTTTTAATACACACATATATATATATATATATGTATATATTTTAAGGTAAAGTTCTTTCTCCATGCACAAAAGGAAGCACTGCCTGCATTTTCAGACACAAATCCAAAAGGAGAGAGGCGGTTTCTTCATGGGAGCCAAGAATAGGAGAGCCAAGAGCCACCCTTCCCAATACATGCATCCAAACCCACAAACTCGAGCTCCAGTGGCAAGAGCTGCCAAAGAAGTTTGTTAGGACCCCTTGCCATGAACATACCTGTATAAAGCACCCTGCCAGGGAGGCACTGCCAGTCAATGTTTCAGTTTAACGCCACCAGGTGATACTTTGCAATGAGCATTACTTTGGCTTAAAGAAATGCCAACCACAGAAGAGACAAAAGAGCTGACAAAACACAAGCTTTTCAAAAGATTCTGCTTTACACAACAAAGAAATGTAGGCTAATACATCCTCTTAAGCTCAAAATGAAACAAATAAAGAGTCAGCTTCTTGGCTATGCCTAGAAATCGAAGATAAATAGAATTTCTTAAGTTTTCTATTGAAAATAAGTAATAATGAAGTGCAGCTTCCAGCTATATCAGGGCTTTTATTAAGGAAGAGAGAAACAACAGCAAACAGGCATTATTTATTTCTTGTGTTAGATAAGCACTTCAAGAGCAAACCTTTATCTAGTGACCCCAATATAATTCTGTAAGACAAAAACCAGGATGAATCTCTTCAAAACAGTCTGTTTAAAGCCTTTAATAAAAAAGGCCTTAAAGAGACAGGATGACAACCTATGCCACCTATCCCAGCAAATTTAGAAAACAGGGTTAAAATGCAGCGACTCATGGAACTGGCATGAGCTACAGCCCTGGGATTATTGGATTCCTTCTCGAGAGCACACAACTGAAAACACACATTTTATAGAGAACCCAGCGAGTCACTTCAGCATGGTCCAGACACACAGGGTATATTTTTGCCTTTCCCCACTGACAATGGAAAACAAACCCCGGCAGCTTTTAAAGAAATGTGAATCTGGATCATAACTCAGAACCAGAAGTAAAAGGAAGGGATCTCCCCTCCTGCTCCATCCACAAAACTCTTTACTGGCAGTACAAGACACCCAGGCTTTCATCACAATGCACATATCAAGGTCAGCAGAGAAAAGCCCAATTCTGACCTAAAAAGCTGTGAAACTGCAGCACTAGCACAGCTCTGCACCAGGCTCCCATTAAGAAAGAGGCCTGCAGGAGACACTCATGTCTGATCAGACTCAAACCCACTTGGTCTCAGTCACTGGAGATGGCTTAGCCACAGCACCTCAAATAAGACTGAGGACAAAGCTATGGGAGAAGGAGAGCATTAGGAATGTCAAATACAGAGCACTGTAGATCAGTGGAGCCTGGAAGAGTGTTCGGGGGAAGCATCCCTGCCTGCCTTGTCCTTATGCCTGTGTCTCAGATCTAGCCAGTGGTAGATCAGGAGACAATCCATCAGCACAGCCTTATATTCAAAGTACCTCTTCACAGCCATTTGTACACCCACCTGACCAATTCCCCAGCAGCAGGTGCCTCAGAAAGGCATGTAACAAGGGCCAAATATAGGGCAATATTTCCTCTGTTGTACATACTCACTCCCACAGAATCCAGCTGAAACGCTTCCTCAGTGAGAAAAGACCATGTTTAATATCTCTCGCTCTTTTTAATATTTGTTCTCTCTTTGAAAGCAGTAAGATGCCAAGAAACAGTAACAACAAGGCACAAAACAATCAAATTAAATGAATCAGATACCTGTTCATCAGACCCTCCAGAAGCAAATAAGTCTCCAGATCTTGAAAATGCTACACAGGTGGCTGGGCCCTGCAAACACATTTAAAAGATAGGTTTAAAAAAACATGAAAGAAAACAAAGTGTTATAAAGTTCCATTCATTGCAGCTTTATAGGGTATTTCTCATTTGACATTCAGCAAACTAAAGGCAAAATTTGGAAAGCTCTTTCTTACCTGTCAGGTAAATGGACCACGATTAAGATGCTAAGCTTGCTGGCAACTTAGCATTTCCCACACTTTTGCCCCCATTTAAGATACCCACTTTTCAATATCCATGGCATTAAAACAGAGACAGGAACAAAATAATTTTTACGGAGTTGGGCTTTTCCTTGTTCCCTTCAAACATTCCATACAAACTCCTCATTGCAGAAGACCCAATGCTTAAAGCTCTTGCTTTCTGCACCATGATATTAACTTCAAAACGTGCTTGACCAGTTATCAACCACAGCAATCAACTTGCACCAATTAATTAGACCAAGGTTACAAGCATTCTAAGTCAAGAAATCTGTCCAAGGAAGGACAGAGGTTTCAAACCAAGCAGGCACTGGCAGCAGACAGGCACTCCTTACAATATCATCATTTGTCATTTTTAAGCTGCAGCCTAATGATCCATGCAGGTTTGTGTTAGTTGCAAGGTTTTTTACTGAAGAATAGAAGGCTGGCTTAAACTGTTTTTCTCTTAGCAGTTTTACAGAAGAGATGCCAGAGTTGATGCATCCAGGATCATCTTCCCACAGCACAAGCACTCACATTCTGAAGAAGCCTCGTGCATGAAACAGTCAGTTCTGAGAGACTTCAAATGCTGCAGCACTGCCTGAGCAGCAGCACACGTCACACCACACACCTGGTTCAATGTGCTTCAGCCTCCCAGCAAGCACACAGGAGGGTGCACGTGGGAAGGATGAGGCAGGTTAAACAGAGCTGGGAAATGGTTACATGTGTTCAAGCACAGGCACAAAAGACAAATTGTTCTGCTCAGAATAAACAGCCGAGAACCCAGATCGTGGAGTTGTGTGTCAGCTGCTCGCCACATTCCCTTGCAGAACACCCTAAGGCAAGAGCTTTTTCCCAAGCTGAAATGGGCAGAGGCAAGAATGAGAACTTCCTATGGCATCAACAAGCCGGGGGGACTGACGGGGGAAACACCAAAATCAAACACCAAAACACAAACAAAAAGGTCACAACAACCCCCAGAAAACTCCACCACGCCATCATACACCTCCTCAGAAGAAGAGGTATCCTCTTTCAAGTAAGATCATGTATTTCAGAACACAAGTAAGAAGCTTCTCCCCACTCTGTATCAAGTTGCAAGGAGAGACTATTCTATTAGGAGTCCACATCTTCCCAATGGGCATCACATGGAAATGGCACATCCAGTTTGTTTCTGGTTTCCTTTCTTTCTCTCCTTTGTTACAGAGAACTTACTGTTATAAATCCTGAAAGCAAACAAATACTCAAAGATTGCATCAAGCAGCCAGCTCTCACTGCAACCTGTGTCCCACAGTCCTGTGGGCTTCCAAACATGCTGGCACATGGTTATGCCAGCAAAACTAGACCTTGATGTGGTCACTCTCAGTGTGAGGAGTTTTAGTCTCCTTAAAACACATTAAGGTATTTCCATGTTATCATTTCACCTGCAGTGAAATTTCAAAATGTTTTGAGGTCTTCTAATAGCAACACCTCACTCAAGAGAACTTGCCAGAAATGATCTAGTAGCAGCAATTTCAAAATGCACTCATTAGTGTGACTAAGCTTGTTCAAGTGACAGATCAGTGACTGGGTTAGATATTTCAAACCAAAGACACTGCCATCAATCAGCTGAGCCTCTGCCTTTATTCCCAGCCACCCTTCCCAGCAGTTCAGCTCTCTGACCGCACTGTCGGGAATGGAAGCTCTAAAATTGCAAAAGCAAAAGACAAATAACCAGTAAGAAAGGGCAGAAACAACAACATAGCCAGAAAACTGCAGTGGTGAATATTGCTCCAAGATAGCAGAGCTGAGCAAAGAGAAGCTGCACTCTGACTATAATAAACCAAAGTTAGGAGGGCAGAAAAAATCCAAGACAAAGTGTTCAGGAACGAGCACAAGTGAGGAACACTGGAGAGGAGCAATGTTTCCCAAAAATATTTTTATCAGTCTAAATATTTCAGTGTATTTAGACAAAATCTGGCACAGAACAAATCACATCAAAACAGGCAATGAACTGACTCCAAAGTCATGGCATTCTTAAGGGAAAAAAAGTTCAAGAGAACATATTCCTCCCAAAATAGAAAATTATATCAAAGACTGAATGTGCCTTTATAAACTGAAAGAAAGGGAACAAACAAGTCTATAGACACAACATCCTCCACAGATTTGTTGACATAAATTAAGTGAAAAGTACTCCTGCTACATACACTCACAGAACTCTTCCCAGATATAACAGGTTTGCTGTAGCAACATAGTTTGCCAAATACTCCTGCAATTTAATATAAACACACCACACAAAAATAAAAAGCTACATTTGCCAGTTATTAGACACAGCCTAACTCCCATTTCTCCCAGGTAAGCACTGCAGAGATCCAACAGATTTCTAATGAAGTCCTGGACAACAGGCAAGTGGTTAGGGACTGAAGACTTCAACTCTTCCTTCTTTTTCCCTCCTTTTAACTTATGTCTTGCATCAAAAGTGTCAAAAAGTACCAGCTGCATATTTTAAGCTTATTTCCCACATAACTAGAACTTGTGGGATGAAGCAGCCCTTTAAAGGATCACTTTCCTCTTTCTGTAGCAGGATACAGTGGCCTTCTATTAGTATCTCCCGGAGGTTCAGAATTTCCAGTCTGCATCCCCGTTGTGCCGGGTGCTCCACACGAGCTGCTAGCACCAACTCCCAAATTCCTACAGATTCTTGCCTTACACTAAACAGCAAGCTGCAAAAAGAAAGGGTTGGACAACAAGAAACACCGAATCAGAACTAAGGAACATTTCTATTTAGCCTCAGCAGGTCAGCAACATGAGTACCGCCAAGCTTTTGTGTATGTTGAGTAGAGTTTGAGATTATAACAACAGTACCTCTGGTACTGGGAGAGGGCTGCAGAAAGTTTGTGGAAAAGTACAGAAGAAAGCAAGAAGTCATCCACTGGAATTGTTGAGTGAGAAGAACATTGCCACTAATTAATATTCATCTCCTCTAGTGAAAGAGCACCAGCCAGGCTGGGAGGGAAGTCCCACAGAGCTTTGAAAAGAAAAATTCACTGAAACACTGGATGCAGCAAAGAAATTGAAAAGAAAAAGGAAGCCATACAGAGGGGATAACTGCATCAAACCTGGTCCTTTGCAGCATTCCCAATGGCAGATATGTATGCCATGGCAGCTGAAACACCAGGTGAGAGCCCACTTCTAGCTGCATAAATAGGTAAGAAAGGTGAGGCCCAGCATGTTACACAATTTATGTGCAGACTAAAACCCCCAGAGATGGAGATTACACCTTCTCCCTGTTTTCCCACTTCCTACAGAAGGAAGCTAGTGATCACAAGGCCTTTATTGCCCTAGCAACACACAGGTTGATCAGCTTAAATAAAACATTAAGTTTGGCCTTCAAAACAGATGTTCAGAACTATTCTGAATGATTTGAATGCATTAATCACCAAGAGATGGGATCCGAAGCCAGGGCACAGATTACAACACCGAGCGAGTGACTGGAGGGATGCTAAGAGCATCAGGAACAACTGACACAGGGATGACATAAGACAACAGGAATAGCTTTCAAGGGTAGAGCTAAAAATAGATATCTCTGAAATAAATACTTAAGAGAAAGGCCAAGAGTTTAGTTTGGAGAAATGGAAATACGCCTGGAGCACACAGTCATACCTGCATGCAGGCAGCAGATGAATGTGTACCATCCAAAAATAATGACTGAACCATCATGGAGAAATCCCTCCTGAACACCCTCTTCTCCCCACAGAGTTGCTGGGCACAGAAGGCACATCACTCTAACAACAGCAGGGCCAACACCAACAGTCAAGTCAAGAGAGGCCACACTTCCAGGCTTCAGCTAGGAACAGAGCCAACATTTTGGCTTCAGCATAACAGAAGAAACAAGAGCCAGGCTGGAGAGAGTCCAGGAATAAACCAGAGGAGAGTAGTTTAACGATGTACTGTCTGCACTATGAAAGGAGAGGCAGTGAGGAAGGAAACTGGAGAGACAAGTGGGGTCAAAGATGCCAGTAGATTTTTAATTTGTTTTTTAATCCTGGGAGAAACTAATGCATAGTAGAGAAAAGCCAGGTAAGAGAGCAAGGGAGGTGCCAAGAGCTGGAACAAGGCATATCTAGAGGATGCAAATAGTTGAATTAAATGAGAGCTTCCTCTTGCACTGCCAAAAAAGGAGATGTAGAAGTGAGAAGATATGAGCCAGTGCATTCAGTCAAGCTCTCCTGGAACAAAAGAGAAAAAGGAGATAGGAGAGGAGACCAGGCCTGAGAAGCAAATCCAGCAGCAACCAGCACACTGGGATCCCAGGCATGGTATCATCAGTTCTAGGCATAAAAGAAATAATACTGAACAGAGCAGTCACTGCTCACTGTTAGCAGTGCTTTCAGCTGCTTCATGCATGGGAGAAGAAGGCAAGTCACATTTGGACAGATGGACATTGAGATGACAGAGGGTAGAGGAGCAAATGATGCAAAGAATAAGTGATCAAGGCAATTAGGGAAACATCAAGAGCAAGTAAAAAACTTGATAAACACATTCAAGTGCCAAAGAACAGAGAGGGCCTGAGACAGGATGCTGGTTGTCATGACTTTCACCTATTTCTTCTGTTGGCACATTGGAAAATCAAGAGGTGCAGGACAGATAGTCCTCCAGTAGGGATGGAATGGAAAGCTATACAGACTGTGGAAAGAATCCACATCTCCAACAGTAAGGAGAAGAAAAATGTTTAGATAAAAAGGGCAGATTCCTAGAAACTGCACAACAAGGGTGATAACACAAAGGAGAAAAAGGAGAGGGAAAGGGAACCAAGGTGAAAAGCATGGGGAACAGAGATGGGCAACAAGGGATGTTTCCTTGCAGAATACCTCTGACACGCAGTCACAAGGATTCTCAGTCCACTGGGCTTTGGAAAGTTCCTGTATTAATACACAGAGCAAGACTGTCATGCCCCCTGCACCCTCCTTCACCAGGGAGCAAGGGCTACAGCTAACACAGGGAAAAATTATACTGGCATCTTACAATTCAATCTTCAGTAGTTTTAACTCCTGAAAGCTTCACTTTAAAGAAACATAAAGCAAGAACAGAGCACTCATATTTCCTTTCAAGACCCAGAAATGCTAACCTGAAGTCAATTGCCTGTTGTTTGTGATACACCTCTCTCTCCCTTTGTCGTTTGGCTTCTGTGCAGCCCTGAGATGTCCTCGAACCCTTCAAAGAGGACCAGCCCTGCACAGATGTTTAATGCCACCTAGGCAGTAAAGGAGCACATTTGTTTCCTGTGCACCTGCTCAGGAACTCTTGCTCATTAGTCAGCCAGCAAAGCAGAGAGCACTTATGTCACCCAGGCAGGTAAAATGCAGCTACTTCATAGTTCAAGTCAAGGTTGCTTGGAGAATTGTAACTTTGCATTTTCTGCCTTCCTATTTATAAACATAACCACGAGATGTTTTCTAAATATTTACTCTGAACTTCCATTCCACTGAGGAAGTCAGTCTGGAAATGCTCTAACTAAACCACTCCAAAGGCCAGACAAGCACCACGTACATACCTGCTCCCCTCTAGCAACTCTCCCAGGGTGACTTAGGGGCCCCAAAACGTTCTGTTCCTCACCAGTGATACCATCACAGTACCAGTGATGGACTTACATACCAACCCACTGTCTCATCTGTATGGAATTGAACAAGAGCACTTCACAGCTTGAAGCCCTCCAGAACCAAAATATGCAGCACAATACAGAATGATATTTTGCAGCTGCAAGATGTCAGCTCCAAGCTGCAAACTCCTGTCTCTAATGATCCTCCTGCTACAAGGGGCCAGCTACATTTCAATTAAAGACAGCAATGTAAACTTGGCCAACCTCCCCATGTAAACTACAGCTAATCAGCTGCTAACAAATTCCTGGCACTCCAGCAGTTGCGTCAAAGTATGTCTAAAGGACCTTACGGGTTTTTTTCCTTCAAGTGTCCACTTGCATGCAGCCTTCCCAGAACAATGTAACAGCAGCCAGCTGTCAGAGGAGGAACAAAGTGTCAAACCAGCATGTTCAACCACACAAAGTCACAACTCAAGAACATCTTCAGAACAGGCTGTTCATGTGGTAGCCCTCACTTAAAAAGGCAAATCTACCTAATGACCAAAAATATCCACATCCCACTTCATTTTTAGCCAGTTGGGGATACTGGCACAAATCACAGCGATAACAGGAGGTGGGGGAAAAAATCCCTCAGTATTAAGTAGCCTGGATTTATCTATGAACAGAACAGGCTGGAGAAGCAGGCAGTGCAGGAATCCACCTCAGCAGCTTCTGGTGAAAGCAGGGCCTGTAGTCACTGCCATTGCTTACTGAGAATAAAGCACAGGTTGACATATGCCCTTAGTGGAAAAGGTATCTGTTAAATCAGGCAGTAAAAGAACCAGTCCACAGCACGTGCCAGAGAGGGAATGCCAGCCAGGGCTATGCCAGGACTGGCTCCACAGCCATCTCACTGCAATACCCTTAGAGACAACCAGAAGGCTCTACCAGCCACTTTGATACTTGTACTTGTTTCCAAACTGAAGGATCTGTGATCGCACAATGGCAGCTACCCTTCAGCTGTGCCAGGGGCAAAGCTTTTCCAATGCCAGTCAGACGCCCAGGAGAGAGTGGCAGACATTGTCCTACTGATCTGAAGCAACAGGGAGGAAAAATACAGAGCTTTAACTCTACTTTTGAACAAATGACCCTCAAACCAATTGTTCAGTAGAAGCCTTGAGTTAAGTACAGCATTAGCCTAGAGGGACTTCCTAGTGTCTGATTCTGCAGACCTCCATCACCATAATCAGTTTTGGACTCTCATTCAAAGCTAAACTCATTTTTTGTGTTGCAGTCAGTGAGGAGCAGTGAACAGCTGGGATGGGAGAAAAATGGAAAGCAGGTTCAGCCTCCTGATGAACAGTAAGCAGGCACATCCCCTCCCAAGGGAAGGATGAAAGGTGTAAAGATCCACTGTCCTTCCACACTTATCCTTTTCCAGGAAGCTACTTTCCAAGAACTCGGCAGATTAACACAATGGACAAATACAAAAACAAGATTAAGACAACAGAAGGGTTGCAGCCCCTGATAGGAGGATCCACCTAGTCCAGTTTTCAAAGTAAGAATAGTTTGTATACAGTCAAGGCTTACATGTTAGGATAACCAGCATTTTTTATCTCCCCCCATTCTTTTAGCATTTGAACCCTCTGGTCAGTCTTAAAGCTCTGCTTCATGGAAAGGTTTAAGTATGAGGTTGCCCAACTTCCCATTAATATTACAAAAATGGAGAAAACTTTACTTATGTATAGCAAAAGAGAAGTTACAGAACAAACTTGACCTTTTTAGACATCAGACAAGGCAGTCACTAAACAAAGCCACAAGAAGCCAGAATTATCCATTTTACAGCTTACACAGCTACCACACAGCTACCACTATTGTCCAGAAGCATCCCCATCACCCCAAAAACTTCAGGCTGTGATTTTCCCCTGAGAGTTTTTATGCTTTAAAACTCAGCCCCCACTTTAAAAAAGACACAAGTGGGTTAAGAATTTCTGTTCTCTTTGTCCTTTTGGAAAGAGAACCTTTAAGGCAGGCCTGCTTTTTCACAGCCCACTCAGCACTGACAATGAAATTAGTCTATTTATTCTCATTTAAGATTTAGAAAGAGAGCTCCAAGCATTCATACAATTAACCTTACAAGCAACATATCCAGAAGCATAATACTAATAGGCCAATCAGTTAAACTTAACCCACCAGCAGCATTTATCACCTTCAATTATTTAATTCACTCCATTAACAAAATGAAAACACGTTCCCAAATCACATCCCAAAATAGATTTCCTTTATTTTATCATTACTGTCCTCAAGTGTCCTGCCAGGTGAACAGCCTTTATCTTCACAACACCTGTGTCAGGGGGCCAAGTGTTATTTGCAGGACTCTAGAGAGGGAGAGAGACAGAGCTGCACTAGAGCGTGAGACACACCCAGGGTCAGAGTCTGGGGCTCCGCCCTGACTGAGCTCCTTCTCTCTTCGACTCGAATCCTCAATATTGGAGCTCACTTTTGGTTCCTGCTTTCTCATTTTCTCCATTCCTGCCTTGCCTCCTTCCCTCCCCGCAGGCCTTCCCTTCAAAACAGTGATGATCTCAAAGACTATTAGCAGTGTTATAATGGTAATTTTACACAAGGAGGTTTTCAAACAATTTTTGGCCATGAAAAACAAAAGCCTCAAGCACAGATTTGCCCAGTTTGTTACCAATTTGTACATTACTGTATAAAAGGCTTTGCCTCACCTGGTGACCATGCAGAGTATACAGAAGTCTTCCTTCTAGCAAGTCCAGAATTTTAAGAGTTGAATCATTGGAAGCAGTAACCAGATAGTTTCCAGAGGGGTGAAAGGAAAGACTGTTGACCACAGAGCTGTGCACTAAGGATGGAAAAAAACCATATATAACAGTCACCAAAACCAGTTTACATAAGCCCAAGGCAAAAAGAATAAAATAAAGCACAAGCACATTCCAATTTTCTGTTATAAAGTTTAACAGGAAAATTATCATGGGGGAAAACATTCCACAAAAGCTCTTCAAAGCACTGGAGAACAAGAACAGTACTGAATTCTTGTAAAAATAGGCTCTACTTTACTGAAAGGAAAAAGGAAGCTTTGCCAATTATTCTGGGAGATTTAATGCTACGAAAGCTTCCAGCATGGCTCCAAAATGTACTATATGTGCAAGTCAGCAATAGGATTCTGAGAGTGCTGGACATTGACATATTTTACTACCGTGGAGCTGCTGTTCTCGCTCCCAAATCACTCTAGATTAAAATCTATATGCTAATGCACTGAGAGGACCAAAATTACAATGAAAAACACTCAGAGTTGACATTGCACAGGTTCTTTTGGTTTACTACCCGACTCCAGCCAAGACTGGGTTTAAGAGAAATAATAAGAATCAGCAACTTGAGAATGGTCCAGTATAAGCATTATTTCTTCAGACATCCAATTCGTCTCACCAAATATTTAAAACAAGTATGAAGAGACAAACTATCAAGAGTGTGAACTTCCAATAAAGCAATCCTCCCTGCATGAAAATGAAGCCCAAGAGTTATTTTGAAAAGAACTAGAGGAAATGTTCTAGGAAAAAAGTTACAGCGAACTTCACTTAAGTTTGACATTAAACATCTGATTTATGGCTTTTTTTCCTTCCCCGAACTTTCACAAAACAGGCTATTGAACATATTTATTTATGAGAACATGCAGTACTTTACATATGCACAGCTTTCCGAGCGTATGTGACATTACAGAACATTAAGACGAGGCTTGAGGAAGGATTTAACCATCCAATTACTCTTAATTATACTCAATGCCCTCCAAATGTTCTGGTATCTCAAATCTACTACTCCTAATACATCACACCCAACTAAATTTATAGTCTGTTGAGAGTCTACTGTGCATTTTAAATCCATAGTGCATGTTAAAAATTCACCCTCAAAATTCAATTTTAAAACACTACAACCATATATTATCTTTTGCAGATGGGGATTTGAAGCAGATATCTGAAATAACCTTGCTCAATTGTAAAACAGAATACCTCTGCTTTCGAAACTCTCAGGAACACTAAATACCTCAGCTTAAGTGCTGAAAACATAATTCCTCTTGACCTGAACTATTGAAAAACATGGAAGAAAACCTTAACAGAGGTAACTTCTGAATAGTTATTCTTCCTGGTGAATACTGTCTCTATCACACAGCTAGATCTTCCTCTACTGCCCCAGCCCTGTATTACCCTATGTATTAAAGGAGAAAAAGGTCTGCGTGGAGTTTTTTCTCATGAAAGAGTGCTAAATGCCTTTCTCCCTTGAAAATTTTATTCTGATTTGTAATATTCCCCACCCCACCAGTGTCTACATTCAGATAGAGGCAAACATATCTTGTCAATTAAGGCAAGTCCTGAAAGGGATCACACCAGAAATAGATGAAGCTGATGATATATCATATCTTCCAAGTTCCAGACAGTGAATAATTTCCAGCTTCACAAAAAACCCTTTCCATAATGGAAAGAAGTCCCACAGACTGGGGCTTCTGTGGGAGCTTCTGTGCCCAAGGAGTTCTTGGCTGTTGCAAGCTCAGAGAAAACTTCATCTCCCTTCTACCAAACCAGCTCAGACCTCCCACAAGACCATTCACAACATCCCTCCAAAAACTTGCCAACATATTCTGCAACTTCACTTGATGACTTCGTGTTGTCAACAATAAATCCAGTGCAGCACGAGGTGGGATCTCCCAGCGACTTGTTGCCACAAGGCCACCCTTCTGCCAGCCAAGCCCGAGCAACATAACAGCCTTTTAGGAGACTTATACTGGGGTTCACAACTAAAACTGAGTCCTGCCAGCCTGTAGTGACTGCACATAACTGTCCCAAGCTTCAAAATACTACTTTTATGTAATAAGGGAATGCAACCCTTAGTAACCACCAGTAAGAAGATAAATTAGCATGGACTTGACACAGCCACAGTCCCTACTGAACAGGTAACTGCTATCAGCCCCATCCAAACGGGATAAAAGTACCAATTATTCTTTTTAAACAGCAATAAAAAAAAACAGGCTAGAGCTGTTTCCACAGATCTGCTACAGAGGTGTCCCACACACAAATTTGGGCAGGAAAAAAATGTCAGGCAATAAACAGTGGCCATTTTTGTAAGAGCTGTACAAAATCTACTGTACAAAAGAGTTTAATGTCTGTTCTACTGTACAGCAAACATGACCAGAGCATACTTCACTTGGCTAAAAGAAAAACACACCATACAAAAGGTTTTGCAGCTTGCTCTCTACTTCCAATTTTCATTTACAAATGTCACAGTTGGAACAAGTCCTGGCAACGAGAGCAACACTGCTAAAAGGCTAATCGGTGCTGGAAAACAGCCCAAATTTAAGACGCAAGAGCCTGTGGCAGGGCTACTTATCTGTTAACTCCTCCATGGAGCTCCATCTTTAAAATGGATTCCCTGGAAATCAGGCAGCACCAGCACGTTCTGAAGGCAGAGGTGCCATCTAGTGGGACTGGGCTGCCAGCCTCACATGGGAGCCACAAAATTACATCAGATTTACCCAAAAGGACAGGTATAAACCCTCAGAACAGGGGGATTTGTAAACGCATCTCCAGGACACATTACAAACACAGGTGCATGAAGTGCCACAAAACAGCCACCACTGCAATTTTAGGTTTCTTCAGCTTCTATGACTATTTTTAGTTCAAAGTTTTAGGTTTCTTCAGCTTCTATGACTATTTTTAGTTCAAAGTTTATTACACAAATAGGATTTACACAGTAGCTGTAAAAATAACACTCACAACAGGAAATGATCGCTTCAAAAGCAAGGGTGTCACACTAAAATGTCATTCAGTAAGGGTGGGATACTGGGGAAATGTGAAACTCCAAGACAAAAAATAGACCTGGCAGCCAAACCTAAACCACATTAGATTTGGACAATTTAACAGCAGTTAAGTGGAAAGCAGGAAGAGATGATTTTCGAGCCAAGTTATACTGTGGCTGCAAACATGCACTGCAGATCTTGCCACCATTGAAAAGCTGATAAAGCAGGTTAAAAGGACAACCTGACACTGCCCAAGTATTTAAACACACTACTGATTTTAGCAACAAGACTTCAGAAAGCCATTTCCAAGTTTTGATATGGGCCACAAATTAACAATACCTATTACAAAACAAATCACAGTTCAGAATTCATTGCTGTGATTGTACGCTCAGTACTGGTGAATTGGAACAACAGTCATCAAAAAGTTTGATTTCTATTAGATTTTGTTGACTATCAGAGAACTGGGAGTGACTGTGATCCATAAGAATAACTGAAGCTGTGATGCTGTCACAGCAGGAACCCACTGTAGCTGATGTGGATGGCAGAAAGAACACACCAAGCTCCAGCCTTGTGTCTCTGATTTCTGATCTTTACAAGCACACCAGAAACAGTCCTCAGGAAAAGTTAGCAAAATTAGGTTAAATGCTGGAAACAGTGCTTGAGAATGTATCAATTTAAAAATACCAGAGCAGCCTTAAAACCTGTTATTAGTAAAGGAAAGAAAAGCCACATTTAGGCTCAAGAAATTAATATGCACACAACAGGTCAATCAATCTCAAAGAAGCTTACAGGGATGGGAAAGCAGCCTTCTCCTTTCTATTTCTACCATACAGCAGCACTAATCAGTTGGACAAGGACAGGCAATGGGAGGAAATGCCATTTGGAAGGTAAGGTGAAAAAAAAACCTCCAAAACATTTAGACTTCTAGGTATAAAAGCTAGCTACTCCATGGACAAGCTAACTTGGACAACTTGTAACTTGGTCAGAGCTAATTCTGGAAGCTGAAAACCAAACAGATTCTGGAGAAGGAACTGTAAACACAGATCATGGTACAAAATTGCAATTGATTGATTTGATTTTCCTTTTTTAACTTTTCCTGATTTTCTCATAAAGAGCTTTAACTTTTGTTTTGCTGGAATACCTCTGACTCCTCCTATAGGCTTATTCAGAGGAAAAAAAACACATCTTTTTTACTGCACATCATCTCCTCAAGAACAGTGAGCATGAGCCAAACATCCATGCCAACCTGCAACACGGGACAGCTTCAGAATCAGTCTTGGAGCTAATGCAAAGCACCATGTCTGGTGAAAAAAGGTTTCTGCTGGCAGGCCTCACCCAGTGCCTTTTCGGACAAGAAGCAGGTGATGGAGAAACATTCCTTGGACTTCAGAACAATTCATATCAATACATGGAAAGGTTCAACTTGTGTAAGGTCTTAACTTGCCTTGGTAATGTTGAAGCAGCCTGTTCATCCTGACGTCCCACAGTTTCACTGTGCTGTCCGTCCCAGCTGCAGCGATGCACGTACCGCTGGGATGAAAATCCACGTGATTCACAAACCTGCAAAGGGCAATTAAATCCATCTGCTTACATTCAACTCTTGCTAAAGATCAAAAAAGCCTTTTCCGGAAGGGAAGCTACATTATGACTCATGGAAGATCAAGGAGGAGATGATCTGAAAATTTATTTTGCTGAATTTCTCTTTAGGTCTTGCTCCTAACCCCCAGCAGAATGCAGGATCCTACCTAAGCACACCATCTCAACAGTTTGTATAGCAGGTGTAGGAGCTGTAGACACAAGTCTCCTGAAATCTGATGGATCCAACTGTCACAACAACATTTTCAAGTGCTCATTTAATGTTTCCATAATGTTCTATTAAATGAACATTATTTCCAGAGCGCTGTGTACAAGACTGAACAGATATTTTTCTTCTATTAACTAATTTTAAGATGGAACTTAGTGAATTTGTGCCTGAAATCATATATTGCCACTTGGAAGGTAGTGAGG